TTAAAACTCATGCCGGGCGCGTGTGCATGCGTGCCCAAGATCCCGAGAGGAGAATGGAGGAGAAGGGATTGCAGCGTGACCATCCCCCCTTGGGAGTGATTTCTCGCTTTCTGTCTCTATGTCTCTCTCTGTCTGTCTGGCGAGCGCACGCGCCCTATAGCGAAAAACCTCTCCAAAAAAAAAAAATTACCTGACAACCCCACATGCACGCATGCTCCTGTGAGCAGTGCCTCTGGGCTGCAGGGCGACAGCAGGCTCTGGGTACGGGCAGCCCAAACCCCAGCTGGGGACGCACAGGTTGTGGGCTGACTCAACCTCTACATGCAGACACCCTCTCGTCCATAAAAAGGGGAAGGACAGGACGGTGTGGCCACGCAGCTGTGAGGTTCCTGTGAGATCCCCCGAGAGGTGGCTCCAATGGTAGCAACTGCCATTAACGTCAAGGACAGAGATCTCATAGGGTCAAAGGGGCATGCATCTTCCTCCACCTAAAGCCTAGCTGGATGTGTGGCCACACCCCTGGCCAGGACTCGAAAGTGCTGATGGCAAAGGCAGGACCCCCAGAGCCACAGCAGCAGCAGCTTTGGGCACTGCCTGGAGAGCTCTGGGCTGTGGGAACCCAGGCCAGCCCCCCTCCTCCCACAGCAGGGCGGGCAGTGCTGGGGCTGGGCAGGTGTGGCCCAGGCCTCATTCAGGTGCTACTCACTGGCTGTGGCCTGCCCGTGTGCTCAGAGCACGGACTGCCCAGCAGCCTGGTGCCTAGGCCGACGACTCCGGTGCAGCCCCCTTGCCTGATCACGGCAGCTGAGTTGAGATGACTCAGGTCCACGCCTGTCTTTCACGGAGCCACGATAAAAACCATGTCCCTGCTGTCTCTTGGAAGCAGCCTCCACCCTGACCTCTAGGCTCTATCTAATATGGAGACTTGGAAAGTTTTGGGGCCAACTGCACCTGTCTGACTGCCACGCCCAATGCTGCGGGACAGTAATTCCCACAGCACTGGCATTGGGATGCTCTATGGACGTCTGAGGTCCTTCCAAGACCCCAGCTTCCAACTAAAAACATGTGTGCCTTCAAGCTGAGGGAGGCCTGGTGCACTGCAACTTGGCGTGCTCAGGCATGCCCTATGACATCCAGCTTCCCACATTAAAAATACACATTGGACCAGCCCATGGCTTGGTGTTTTAAGGCAGCTGGATCCCACGTGGTCAACTGCAAGGTTACTTGAGAAATACACTGGGCGTGGGACTAGCAGGTGGTGGGGTGGTTAAGGCGATGGACTCACACATGGCCAACCACAGTTCGAGTCCTGTACCTGGTGGCTGGCTGGCTGGCTTACTCATTTTCCCTCTCTCTCTTTCTCTGATCAAAATTGGAAAATAATAATGATGATGAGGGACCAGCAGTTAGCGTAATGGCTATGTCGCTGGGCTCCCATGTAGTCAACCACGGTTCAAATCCTGGACCCAGTGGCTTAAACTCACTCCAGGCACGTGTGCGTGCATGCACAAGATCAAGAGGAGAATGGAGGAGAAGAGACTGAGGCATAGCCATCCCCCTGGGGGGTGATTTCTCGCTTTCTGTCTCTCTGTCTCTCTTTCTGGTGAGCGCATGCGCCCTATAACAACAACAACAAAAAAGATGATAAAGTTAAATGATTTTTTTTTTTTGAAAGAATATTAGAAAAAAAGAGAGACAAACCGTGCGCATATGCACGCCTGGCCAAGATCACAAAGGAGAAACCAAAGAGAACGGGCTGCCGAGGCCGCCCACCGGTGCCTTCTCCCTCAGCACCCTCCTGTCTCTCAGCAAGCACATATGCCCTCGAGCAAAATCCAAAACAAACAGGGCCAGTCCCTGACTTGGTGGTCAAGATGGCTGGATCCCAATGGCCAACCACATGGTTTGAACCCCAGACCCAGTGGCTTGAGACACACACCAGGCACGTACGAGCACCTGCCCAAAAGCCCAACAGGAAGGAGCGACGAGCAAGGGCAGGCAGGGTCACTCCCGATGGGGTGGCTTGCACGCTTTCTGGGCAGCACACACCCCTCGTGGCACACGCACACACCGGAAACAAACAACAAAAGAGACCAGGAGTGAGACGGCGCGTCTGGAGGCTGGGAACGTCTGGCCGCGTTCTGAGGTGGGGTCACTGACACAGCAGTGCAGAGCACGAGGCCCTGGGTTACTGGCCAGTTTTATAGGAAGGGAAGCCGACTTCAGAGGGAGGGTAATGAGGTGCCAGGTTGGCGCTGCCCTGCCACGCCCTCGCTGCCCTGTGCCGTGTGGCTGCAGGTTCCACGGGGAGGTCCAGGGCTAGGAGGAGGCTAGACACCTGAAGAGAGCACAGCAGCTGCAAAGTGGCATGGCCAGAGGGCAGGTTCTCTGTGAGCCCAAGGGGTCCCCTGCCCCCGCTCACGCTGTCCTTGATCTAGGAGTGCCCGAGCCTCTGGTTCCCCCAGCTGGTCCCACACGCAGCTCCAGGGCTGCTGTGGACACACTGTGCGCACTGTCCCTCACAACAGGGCCATCCCTGGAGGACACTAGCAGGGGGCGTGGTAAGAAAACAGGTGCAGCATCTGGGGCAGCACAACAGAACAGAATCTGGTGGAACGAACGTAACAGCCTCCCCCAAAAGAAAGTACACATGCGGACCAGCCATCTACCCTACGGCGCAGCCCATGCCCTTGCCATGTGCAGGGGTCTGGGGCCTGTGCTGCTCCTACTGGAGAGCCAGTGATGGCCCACCTGCCTTCCTCCCAGTCCTGAGGCACTAGTCCAGGGATGGCTCTGTGGGCAGTGCGATGCACAACCCAAAGTAAGCTGGCCCCAAGTGGCCACCCAGATCGAATCCCTGGCCCGGAGGGATGAAGCATGCCAGGCACGTATGCAAGGGCCTGGGATCCGATGAGCTGGAGGGGGGACTGCAGTGGACTCTGCAGAGCACTCCATGCCTCGCTGGTGCACAGGACACATGAATAAAGACAAAAAGGAGGACGATCACTGCAGAGCTTCAGAGGCTCTGTGCTGTAGAAGGGCAATGCAGGCACGGGGAGGCTCCAGCTGAAGGGGAACACTGCCAGGGTCGCAGCTCCAGCACTGCTCGTCTGCCACAGGCTGGGGCGCTCAGAGCAGACCACCCAGCACGCACCCTCCCGATCTCACTGCACAGTGGAGGAAGAGGCACTCCCTTCTACTCTCTACGAAGGCTTGCTTCTGGAGACGCAGGCCTAGCTGCGTGACACATGCCTGAACCTCCTGGGTCTTAGTCTCCTCACCTGTGAGATGGGGCGAAGCTCCCGGCTCTGCTCAGTGGGTGAAAACCCGAGACAGGCGTGAAACTACAGTTCAGAGTCTCTGCTGTGGTGCACTGGCCTAAGTGAGGGCCACAGCTCCTGCACCAGCTCCTTGGGCTCCAGCAGCCTCTGCCCTTCTTCAGAAGCTCGCTGGTGGTCATCACCCCCTCCACGACCAGTCATGCCACACAGCGCACAACCCTGAAGGCGCAAGCTATGGTGTGAGTTTGTCCTCCAACAATGGACATTTTAAGTTTTTTAGCTTGCTACAGGGTGCTTGTGCTTGCCAAAGAGAAACCACGACAGGAAAATAAGAAATTACCCCCCAAGAGGGGATGGCCACACTGTGATTCCTTCTTCTCCATTCTTCTCTTGGGATTTCTGGGAGCAAACACATGTGCCTGGCATGATTTTCAAGCCATCTGATCTGGGACTAACCACGCAGTCGGCCATGTGGGATCCAGTGCCTTAACCTTCGCACTACCCGCTGGCGCCAGCACTGCCGGCACCTTCCACCACCACGAACCAGGAGCATGTTGTGACCGTCAGTCTGGTGGCTTGGTGGAGGGCACAGCCAGCCACATCTGCATCTAGGCCTCTCCAAGTCAGCAGCCCTGGCTCGCACCACCACTCTCAGATGGAGACCTCAGTAGGGTGCCCTCCCGCTCTTCTCTAGCCAAGACTTGTTCCTCAGCTCCAGACCTGCAGGCCAGAGACCCCCAACCCCAGGCCACAGACCAATGACAGCCCACGGCCTGCTGGGACCCGAGCCGCAGACTGCTGATGCCCCTGTCCCCCAACCTCGCTGTGCTGGGGGGTGCAGTGAGCAAGGCTTGGTCTGCCATGTCAGCAGCGGTACTGGATCTGGGGCACTCGGGTCACCTGAGACCACCCCCAATCCATGGAGGGATCACCTTCCCCGAGGCCCATCCCTGGCGCCAGGAAGGTTGGGGGCTACTGCACACGCAGCCCAACTCCTGACAGCTCCCCACCAAGCAGGGCTCCCTGGGTCTCCCCAGGGCTCTTAACATGGACGGTAAGCCTCGGTGCCACCTCAACCCCTCCTCTCTGCCCGTTCCCTTCTAGTTCTGCCTTGTAAAGAGGCTCTTCTCCTGACCTTCCGAGCACATCCTCCTGACCTAGGCCTCCATCCCCACTTCTCCGGCCCTGACCTTGCAGGGTGTCCCCCAGAGGCTGCTTCTCTCAAACCTTCCAGTGGGTCACCACGCCATCCAGAGTGCCAGGCCCTCCTGTGACCGAGGGCCCCGGGCTCAGACACAGGCCGCTGCTTTCTCTCTCTCCTTGTTGTGGGGCGTGTGAGGTCACTGGTGATGGAGATGGAGTCAGGGAGGATGTAGGAGACCAAGCCACCCCCGGGGAACAGCCACGCTGCAACACCCTCTCCTTGGCTCTGCTCTTGGGATCTGGGCCATGCACGGATGTGCACCTGGTGTGATTTGTAAGCCACCAGGTCTAGGACCAGAACCATGACTGGCCATGTGGGATCCAGCATCTTAAACTTCATGCCACCTGCTGGCCCCTAGGTCACCTCTCTGTCCTCAGTGCCCCGACCTCTGAGCCCAGCCTACAAGCCTCCCTTCTGTACCGATCTGAGTTCAGAACTCAACCTGCAGGGCAGCCCTCCCGGCAGCCATGGCTCCAGGTCCCGCATGGCCACAACCCTCCCTACACCGCCCTGCGCCCGCTGGTCTCATGCTGAGGGCGTCAGTGACTCAGGGCAGGTGTGTCCAGCTATTCTGTCCACGTCTCCAGCATAGGCTCTCTACGATCCAGGGTTGGCTGAACAGTCTGAGAAGCAGCAGGGACAGAACCACACGTGGTCAAGGACACAACACCTTCCCGGCTCAGGGGCAGGGAGGGTGGGCCACTCCTTACCCCTCCAATGGAGCAGCGTCCTGTCAAGAGGGAGACTCCGTCACATCCCAGAAACGCCAGACATGTTTTGGTAGCCCTCAGCAGGGCCTTCACCAGCTCCTTTGACCCCAGGACAGCAGCGCCTGGGGTCCCGTCAGAGTGGGTGTGATCACGCACCGCAGTTGGAACTTGGACGTAAGGCCTCCTCCTTGTCTCGGGTTGCAAACGCTAACACGTCTGGTGCTCTCAGAGACAAATGTCACCAGAGCCGCAGGGACTCGGCCTCCGCCGCTAAGTGGGCCGCAACCCCGTGTCCAACTAAAACCTGCCGAAGTGATGCTGCAACTGGGAGACAAGGAGGCCCTCTGGCCGCCCTAGCCCGCTGCAGGGGTGCGGAGCCATCGGCAAGCGCCGCAAACGGGCCCGGGTAAGGAAGGGCTAACGCGTCTGCGGGATGGACGAGGGCGGGCGTAGGAACGTCCCTGGACCTGCGGACCCGCGGCGG